AAAAAAAAAAAAAAGATATGGGTAATATATGTCTTTAACTGGGCAGCAGACACATATGAGTTTGTTGTATTTTATTCTTTAATTTACACACGTTATATAAATACACTTTTGTAAGCTTTAACTTTGTAATTCAATCCTTAATCTTGTATTATATTGGTTAAAGGTTTTAACAGCACCATAAAAAGAAAACCAGTATATAACTCAAGGTATTACATGAAACAGCTGTATTTAAAAGAACAAGGTGTCTAGAGATAGTTGGGCCCATTTGAACCGAGTTTATCCACACCTGTCATGGTCATGACCTGGACTTCTCAGGCTTTTTTCCCAGCCTTGTCCCACTCTGACTGTGACACAGCTTGAGTGTGGACATCTGAATTTCCTGACAGTCTTTTCTTTCTATAGGCAGATTCAAGGCCACATAGAGTTTTAAAGATCATAGCCCGAACTTAGATAACGCAGACAGGAATCAAGGTCTACAGAGAGCAAGAAGGTCAAGCAGTCATTGTATTGCTACATCCTCAAAGAGGGGTAAAGACCACAGCAGAGCATGGAGATGATCACTGTAGTTTGGAATTTAATGGGAAAAATGACCTTCCATGTGAAAACTGTTAAAAAAAATTGTTAAAAATTGTTTAAAAAATTGTTAAAAAACATTTCTTTAATTGATTTGAGTTTTGTTTCACAAGTTAAAAAAATTTAAGAAAGTGTAATTTTCAAAACAAAGGAAATTGTAAGTACTGTTTATGAGAATCTAATTATCTCAGGGAAAGTTATCCTAGTGCTTTGACCAAAAGGATCAAATGTACGCATGAAGGAGGTAGCATGTGAGATACTAAATAGACTTTTACTGTACATTTAACATTACATTAATCTTTGAATGGATGGGACAGATTAACTGGTAAAGCATTTTCCTAACTCATTTTTACTGAGTTTTTACACAGTTTCTTCCATCTGTGTCAGTATGTGGTAAGGAAAATAGAAACCAACACACACATAGCGAACAACATAAATAACCAAATATCCTAAGGGAGCAGTTTACCATGTCTTCTGGTTCAGGGATACTGATGCCATGGAAAAACTGGTTACTTTTAAAGATAGTTTGATGTCTTGGGATTAGTTTTCCTGTAAAATACAAACCACATAATTCATCGTAAAATTGGAAAAGAATAATAAAATGTGTAAATGGTTAACTTCTGAGGTGCAGGTGTGAAATAAATATTGTCCTTGGTTGTTCCCTCCAGGTGGGAGGAGTGGGTCCCTGCAGACCAGGCTCTCTTAGTTAGGTAAAGCCAATCCCCCCAAGCAACTCGCCACAGGGGATGTGGTTGCCACTCAGCCTTCATCAAAAGACAGTGTGAGAAAACGGTGTTAGGGGCTTTACACACACTGTCTAATCTCCTCACAGTCTCGCTGTAGTTGCTATTTTTAATCTCCATAACACCAATGGGGAAAATGAGGCTCAGAGAATTTTAATAATAACTTTCCCAGGATCACACAGTAATTAAGAGAGAGACCCAGGATCCAAACTCAGGTCTGTCTAATGTCACACTCAGCTCAGACTGTACAGTGTCAATTTCCAGAGTCCTTTTAGGGAACCAAACAA